AATGTTGACCGATGAGCAAATTATAGACTCCGTAACCTCATCTACAGCTTTAAGCGATAATGAGAAAGATGACGATTTAGGTGAAACGTATTCTATTGCAGACACTAATGCTGTTTCCCAACCATTTCTGAAATGACAAAAAAAGTGTCAGAAACTCGGAATTTTCTACAATCACGCCAAGTTCCTAATCATATCTGGGAGCCCTTTTGTGATCTTGAAAACTACATAAATAACATCTATTTTTGCAGCAGAAATGTACAAACAAAAATTACAGACTTTATGAAGTAGATTTCAAATTGAATTTTGTTTATCTTTTTGTGTTCTTTTTAGTCATACCTACTAACTTCTACTACTCTATGTAAAAATAACGAAATAAAATACACCACGTCTTTTTGTATTATTATTCGTTTATAGCGAACTCCGGATATAACGAACCAGTTTTAGTTCATTTTTCAAGTTCGTTATATCCGGACTCAACTGTATTTTGTACAGTTACGATGCCGCTGTCACAAAGGAGTATCTTGAGGAGAAAAATACCTACATTTGTTCATTATCTTCAATAGCACAAAGTTCCATGACACTTGCTGATAGAATCCTAATATTATGCATTTGCTTTAACTGTGAACCCAAATGTATAGTGAAACTTTCCTCTAGTATTGGAAGATTTATTTGACTTCTCGAGTTGCATTCACGACTTTTGAAATTTTCAGCATAAGCTGGGTTTAGCGGAGAACTGTAACAACATAATAAAACTTAAAAGGTAACCGCCCACAAGATCAAATTATTAACCTGGGGGTTGGCAAAGAAGAGTTTGCTTGATTTTCTTCGAGCATTTCCATAATCCACTCTCTATATTCACGCCTTTGAGCTTCTTTCATTGTATCGATTTCACTACTTAATTTTCCTTGTAAAAGAGAATGAGTTTCGTAGTGTCTCGATACTAATTCATTAATTTTGCTCTCAGTCATGTCTTGTTCTAATCTATTAACGGCCTTGTTCATTTCTTCACTTTGCCTGTTAAACAATTTGAAGTCAACCTAAATTCATATTCCCTTAAAAGTCAGTGGCTTGCGGGGAATTTTAAAGACGTGAAGCAATTTGTAAATATATTTCACCTACCACCACCACAGACTATCTGACCAGACACACTACCTGCAATCTAAGTAAGTTACATTTTGTAAATTAAGCGCACAGTTTTGTCACTATTAATTTCTGTTTAACCGACTTATGTATTATTATTCGTCAAATAATATTCTTAAATAAGTAAATTGAAGCTCAACTGTTAGTAAATAGCTCTTTATAAAATGATAAGCGAAGCTTTAATACCCTCAAATATTAAACAAAAAGCAGAAAGCCACTACGCACTACTTGATGCCAACAAAAATTCGTCAAAAATAGGAAGTCGTTCATTTAACGGAAAATTTATTGTTAGCTTACTACCAAGAATTAGCAGTAATATTGCAAATCTTGTTCGATTTGGTCTTTTTATTTTCCGCTAGGAATAGCAACAATCATGACAATATAAACACTACAACTTATACCAAATTACTAGAACCCTACTGAAAGGAAAGTCTGATGGTATTAAAAGCAAGAAATCCAAGATTTTGTCTACAAACACCATTAAAACTGAAATACGCAAGTGCAGATTTCGAAATGCACCAATGTCAGGCACCCCCAGGACCGGTTGTTTGGTGGTTGGACAGCTAATTTCAGGTTGGACCCAGCTGATGAGAGCTAATAAAGGCTCGAAACCGGTCCTGGGGGTGTCTGAGGTTGGTGCATTTCGAAATCTGCACTTGCCTATTTCAAAGACTATGACGGTTCTGCTGATTCCGAAAGCCTTTCATTGAACATTAAAACTCTCCTGGAAAATGCACCAGATAGACAATATTTGTCTAAAAAGGTATAACGCTTCAATTTTTCGATACATACAAAGGTGTATTTAAATTTGAATAAAATTTTGTGATACTGGGCTGCTGTCCACATTTCAATCGTCAGAACTGGTATTTTCATAAATATAACAAAATTGTCTTTTAGTTTTAGTAAGTTTTAGTAACTTTTCCATTCGTACGTAGAGTGCTTCTTACAACTTTTATAATGTAATATACTATTATACATCACTTTTCGAAAAATCAGTCGAAGATGCTGTGTATTCAAATTTAAAAAGGTATCTCGGGATTCCCACCAACTGCAAAAGCAAACGTGAGATGAATGCACATAGTGCTTAATTAAATCAGACAACTGCTCATTCAGTCCTTATGGGTTCGCAACTTGTGGTTTGTATTTTTTCATTTGACTCCGAAATTTTCATATGGAGACCGAGAAGCAGTCGGAAATATTGCATATCGAAGCTCGGACTGCGATGGATCACGACGTGCGATGCGCCTACTGTTCGTTGCAAGCTGTATGCGTATGACCGGTATGACAAAGATAGAACCGTATGATATTGTCTTTTCTTGATAGTCTTGAGTTTGAAGAGCGCGTCATGCTATCCAATTTTTCCTTCTTCTTGAATTTAACTTCGTCTGCTGCTTACTACCGTAAGATGTGTGCGCTATTGCCATTGCCTAATTTGTTATGGAGGCTCGTCCCTTTTAGTTAGAATGTTGGGGTTTATTACACAATGAATAAAATAAAATATTAAGACGATTTTTCAAAAGTTTCGGGTGGTCGACTTCTAGGGAAAGCAATGCTTCCGTTGGTTCCACGGACCGCACCTCCCTGTTTAAAGTTCTCACCTATCTGATAATTTTTTGATCATCATGTTCCTTTTTTCAGTTTTCTGCCTAATGGTCTTGGAATACATATGTTCATATTGTAGCATAGTTTCTAAGGCAGGTGAATGCACAAGTTTGTGATACGCTGTAGCAAATAATTCTTCATCTGATGCACAACGCTTTTCTCCAAATTCTATGAGCTCCTTAAAAGTTATTACTTACAAGCATGTAGAACACTTCATCTGTACATTAAAAAGTGTTGTTTATATTACTTCTCTCATAATTTTTTCCCATTGTTTTATAATGCCATCAATATCAGGTTGCTGGTCTTTAGCTTTCTGAACTACATCAGTAGATGTATCTTCATAATATTCAGCTGTTTTATATTCGATAAATTTCTTAATATCTTTCTTCAATTCTAAAATTTATTAATCAAACTAGTTGCTGTTAGCACCATGTTCACAAATAATTTACCTTTTTCCACGTATAGGGGTAAATTGTTTTTAATTATAATAATATGAGCTAATTCCTCTATAGAATCATCATATGGAACCGTAATGAGATACTCTATGACATATTGATGATTAATGTATGTAACATCTCTCTTGCCAGGTATCATTTTATTTGTTCTTTGCAGCCTTTAGGAATTAAAAAACTATTAATATTTTTGTTATTGTAAAATAGGTTATGTTAATTGTGGCAGACTTCATTCATCACTTCACAGGTGGCAGCCAAATATCTCACCGCACAAGAGCTACGCCATCTCGTTTCATGTACTACATCAAACAACAAACAATCCAGATTCCTGCGTCTAAGGTAGGGTCAAACAGTCATTGATTTTTCTTTTCCATTTGAAACCATCAATCACAGAACATACCCCCATAGAATGGAAACTGCAATGATAGGTTATGGAGATAAATTTAGCTCTCCACCTAGCGGTATGAGCACACAAACTATGGGAATGTGAGGAATTTCTCCGATATTTGACTCCTAATGATTGCATTCACCAAATATATCGGGTCAATAAAAAAACCCTGTTATGTAATATTTTATTCAGTACGTAGTCAATAAATCAGTTACAACCATGTTTTGTTGCTTTCGGGACTATTTGCAACAAATGTTTGTTTCTGTGATGTACCAGTGTTCCTCCTGTCTGGATATTTTCTGAAAGATGATTGATTTGCTCGGCTCTGAAACAATATGAGGAATTAATTTTCTGGCATTGCCTAAAATCATTTGTCGCTTCAGCAAATTTACTAATTGTTTTCCTCAAATGTCAATTTTGCTTGATAAATAATGCTTTTTCAAGAAATTTCAGGAAACATTGTACTCCCCATAAAAAACGTTAACAATAATTGGTGCTCCAATAATTGTTAACGTCATTACAGTAATTGTAATTTTCGAGAAATAATAAAATAAATCTATTTGGTACTTAGAAAAGTCTGATAATTCAGCACCCTCAATTTCTTGGCATTTAGAAGCCGCCTTCATTAACTTTATAATTATCTGCCTCGAATGTATGTATGCTCGCACAAACTGTATTCATTTATCTATTTATTATCTAGAAGAATCAAACTTATTTGTTAGTTACCTGGTTTCAAATTTAAAGTTGGTACAGCATTCCATGTTAAATTCGTGCATCTACTATCAAATACTGAATAGTAAGCTTTAATATGAGCTGCACATTTCCACTTGTTTTCACCACTTTCTGGAGGACCCGGTAGAAAGTCGAAATTTTAACAGCTTTTAAGAAAGTTTGTAAGGAAATGTGAAAAATGCAGCCATATTGAGTTCACAAACGGGCACTGAACACTTTTTCCTCTGGGCGTTAAAGTTCCGACATAAAATCCGCCATGACCGTATTCTGAAAAAGTCTAAGCAGCATATCATCATGTAGTCAAATGATAATGCAGTTTCAGAGAAGAATTTTAGAATTGTTTAACAAAACGATAACGTAAACACTCGCACTACCTCTGGCACTACCTCGGAAATTCGCAAACTGAAGAAGAAGTACAGTGTTGTCGCCTCACCCAATGACAAATTACTCAAATTAATTTCTTAACCGAATATCAATTTTACAACTATGATTAAATGAAAAAATACACAACAATAATGCGGGAATCGAAATCCCGAAAAAATTTCGCTATATAAGAAAACCCCCGTTAACAGATTTTCATTCAAATTTTGTTTATACCGGTTTGCTTCTCTAATCATTATCTAATAATCTCGTAAGTTGATCTAGAAGCGGCTACGTTGCATTATCGGTGCGCCACATATCTATCAAATAGCAAACTAACCGCAAACTGCTGGAAATTTCTGCCAAAAAAAATTTCTGTGGAGCGACATCTAAATAGCGAGGTACGAAATAGCATGTAAGTCCCGCCCTATTTTGTTTCCATTCTAAGGGGGGATATTTTGTGTCATCAATACATTTTGGGAAGTGTTGCAGCAGACGGCACAGACTTTTAAAACTCTCTCTTAAAATATTGTGGAAACTTAATGCAATTTATTTAAATATGATCCTCACGTCAAAACACCGACAGACGGAACATTAAAGGAATTAGCCGTGGATCAGGCTCGGCTCAGGTCTGGACGCACCTTAATATTCACTGGCTGTCTCAATTGACTTTGCATAGACTTAATGCAATTTATTTAAATAGACTCCTGCAATTTGCTTTACAAAAATAGTTTAGGGCGTTATGCGAATTTTCAAACTGCGCGCCATTCACCGGGGCCAGAGCTGTCAACATCCTCACGTCTAAAATTATTGGGCTACCGCTAGACGCGAATAAGCCACAGGTCATAGACATGTAGATTGGAATGTAATGCTTTCCCGGCAAAACAGATTTCGCCGAGAGCAGCCACCAGAGGCGTAGTCCTATGGCCCTTTGAATATAAAACTAACTTAGTTTTATATTCAAAGTTATGGCCAGAAGATCAGCTGATCGTTTCTCGGATTTTGTTTTTCACATTCCATGTATTAGATGTCGTTAAGTGTATGGACGTCATTTTATAATCATTAGCATTTTAACGTGTTTATTGTTTAAGCCTCAGAATACAATTTTATGTGTTATATTGTGATAACTGTGAACCTTATCAGAGTTTTACAGTAATGAAATATAAAGTAGCCAGGTCCCTGAATAAGTGCTCTGAAAATCAATTTTCGACGATATGGATTTCCTAAGAATCAGCCAGACTTTTAAAACTTGACTCGAAATCGTTAAACACTCATAAAGAAAATAAAATTATATGGAAATATTAGAGAAAATAAAAAGTGACCGCAGCACACGGCACAGTAAACAGCTTGGCTGGAGCCCCTGCAGTTTATTGAAGAACTAGCATAAACTAGCACTAACATAAACATGCCAAAATCGCAGAGGTCATAAGGTGAATTCAAATCTCCCGCTAAATTTTGATGTGAACACAATCGGTAAAGAAGTTTTCTTCTGCAATCAGTTACTCTAGTTTGGAAAGCAGCCGTTGGGAATAGGAGACAAATTGCATGGTTTTATGTGAATTTCCAATTTATAGTCTGTGTGATCTGTGGAATAAACTAAACTGCTGAGATTAATGAAAACGTCAAAATGTTACAAGCACAATACTCTCAAAACCCATTTTTCGGAATGGAAATACCCCAAGGAACATTTAATTCAAGTACTGTTAACTTACCAACCGAATCAGAACCGTCCTACTGCTTGTGTGGCCAACCCTATAATTCAGATATTTTTATGATACAATGTGATTCTTGTAAAGACTGGTTTCACAGCACGTAAGTTTGTAAACAAAATCGTATCCTTTGATGACTTGAAGTGAGGATGCTATATATTTGTTGCTTTTAAGATGTTGCAACTTCAGGGAATGGGAAGCAATCGAAATAGATAAGTACCACTGTCCTAGATGCAGTCCTATTATTGGACCTTCAATAAGTAAGTTTTTGACCTATGTAGAAAAATCCCAAGTAACGCTGTTACAAATCTACATTATTCTTAATCAATGTATATTGTTGCTTATAGTTATATATTTTGTTTCAAGATAAAGTAACTCACAACTCTCATCGACATGAGTATTGGGATAGTAATGCCTCAAGCAAACCAGTCCAGACAGGAACGCCTGCTTTTATACAAGAGCTACGTACTCGCCACTTTACACCGGCAGATGATATATTGGTCAAAGTTAGTGGATATGAGCTAACCGAAGAATATTTTCGCTCAAAAGGATTTAACAGCCCTATAATCATTAATAGTAAAGAAGGGTTGGATATGATTATGCCCCCAGAAAATTTTTCCTATATCGATGTGTTAAAATTGGTTGGAGACGATAAGGAAATCGACGTTATTGATGTATGTAGACAGGCCAATATTAGAATGACCTTAGGCGACTTTATTAATTATGTTGCAAGTAGTGGGAGAAAGAGGATATTCAATGTTGTTAGTTTAGAATTTTCTAACACAGGGTGAGTATAAACATATTTTTGTTAATTAACGAGTATATATTAAAATTGCACTTAAATATGTGGATATTTTCATAGTGCATAGTTATTTTATTTATTTTTTTATATATTGTTTCAAGAATGACCCATATAATAGAGCCCCCCTTAATAGCACGGAAATTGGACTGGGCTAATTCGGTTTGGCCGGAAAACCTTGAAGGCAGACCTCAAGTACAAAAATACTGTTTAATGAGTGTTAAAGATTCATATACCGATTTTCATATTGATTTTGGTGGCACCAGTGTTTGGTACCATGTATTAAGAGGAGAAAAAGTATTTTTTTTTGTTAAACCAACAGCAGCTAATTTAACTTTATATTCCCAATGGATGACATCAACTAATCAGAGTGAAACATTTTTTGGCGATCAGGTAAGGATTATGATCTTTACTCTAATTCATAAATCAACTAAGCACAAACACGGTAATTGTTAGTCAAGCTGTTTGAATTTGAAGATATACTACTATACAAATTAAAGTAAACCTTAATTTCGTTTTTTAACTTTTTTAATTCGAATTAATATTTGTATAATTCCCATTTAATATACCGTCCAGCACAAAGTTGACGTAAGTTCGAAATCAGTTATGCGGGGGAGAAAAAAAACCATTTTAAATTACTAGATTTATACTTTTCAAGGCAAATAAATTATTATTCTGCTCTAAGATGAAATAGTATAATTACGGGTATAAGAGACGAAAGTCGAAGTTGTTGCTTGGTGGAAAATAGCCAGGAAAAGTATAACGTTTTGACAAAAAAAAACGGCTTTGAAAATGCCAAAACAGTCAAGTTGTCAGCATGCCTGACGAAATTTATTACTTTTCACACGGGATAAAGAAGTTTTAATTGAATAATGGGTGGAAAGGTAAATTGCCATTGTCATGAGTAAAGGTGATTCTTTCGCTATCGAAAACAGTGGCGAAACTGTGTACTTTCCACCAGGGGACCAAGAAAATTATTTTGGTGGTGGTGATATCGTGATGATTTTTTTCCAATTGAATGCACATAACACACTAAAAATGCTGTTACGTAGATACTGTTCTGGAACCGCATTTTTGTGATTGTGATTATAAAAGTACCATAGAATATCGCATTGTAACGATAATAAGAAATACTTATTTTTAAGTGAAACCCAAGTTTTAAAGCAAATTTGTTTCTACTCAAAAAGCATGTAACATTTTTTTCTAAAATGACAAACCTAAAATATTAGAAATTTCTTCTAATTACCCAAGCGGATAATAATAAAACTATGAAGTGAAAAATAAAATATTAAATATATTTATACGTGTTCATAAATACTCCCGTCTTAGTTAAAACATTTGATAGTATTTTTTTAGTCAGGCTTTTTAAAAATTTTACTACCGTTTAAATTACCGAATTGTTAGTTTCTAGTTCTTCTCCGGTAAAATTTCCCTCATTTTATGAGCTGAATGTCTTGTTGAAATAATATTTTCAGCATCTCTGCTAAATTAACTTCGTCTAATAATTTTTCAAAGCTTTGTCTTAGTAAATCTTAAAATCGAAGACCTGTTAATGGTTCTTTAAAACTGGTCCCACTAGTATGACAACTATTATGCTATACAATACATCAACGCTAAACCGTGTCTCTGGGAGACGGGGATGGATTCGCACGCAATAAAACTTCCTTGCTACAATACTGAACATTTTTGGTATTAAATGGAATTAAATTTGATTAATCACTCGAAAAATTCGTCGTTCTGCATTTGGTACGTTTATTAGCCATAGACGAAACTTCAGCCTTCTGTCCTTATCTCCTTCATGAAGTTGTTAAACTTATTTACATTTGTGTGGAACATTCGCCAAATTGTTAAGAAAGGAAGGTCGCTTTCTTTTCTTAAGTCTTTCACAGATTTTGCGAGAAAAAGATTCAAAATATGTGGAAACGTTCAATTCGGTTGGCTGACTTACACTATTAACTTTCCTTCTGCGTTTTTTTCACTTTTAATATTTTGAAAATATTGGCGGTAAAGTTAGGCACCATGCCTGTTGCTATTTACTTAGATGATGATAGATGTTACTTAGATATTATGTACGATTTTGTGAGAAAGGCATTTTTAGAGATTTTAGCACTTAAAATAAATAGAAATGCCAAATTGATTACTTACATTTGACATTTTTTAGTTTTTGTTACCCAGCTTTCGCTAGATTATTAATTTGTCGAACCAAGTTCATCCATTATCCGCTCAGAAAATTAGACGTAAAAAGTCCTTCACACTTTAATTACTTGCCAGTTTAAAAAAAAAATTACTAAAATTTATTGTGTAGAATTAATTTGACTTTGAGAAATGAGAGGGATTGATTTGAAAATAGGTGTATTCTACTGGTCTTTAATATCACCATCACAAACAGCGTAAAAAATGAGTCTGCTATTTAAACCAATACTGTATATCTATTAATAACAAAACTTCCGGCGGTACGCACTTATGTGGTTCAGCCTGGATGGTAAACCGAAGGAAAATATTTCAATGGCAACTTTGGAAATGTATAATAACACTTATAAGTTACTAATCTGTAATTCGGACCCGATATACATTCTCTTTTTTTACTTTTGAATACAACTTTTTTGAACATTTATTGAAGTGTGAAACATTTAATGGAATTGTAATTTTTATAATTTTTGAAAATACGTAATTTCATTTCTAGGTTGATCAGTGTTACAAGTTTCATCTTCGTCAGGGGCAAACTATGCTAATACCTACTGGGTGGATACACGCTGTATATACTCCAGTAGATTCTTTGGTGTTTGGCGGAAATTTTTTGCACAGTTATAATATTAATATGCAATTGAATTGCTACGAAATTGAAAAGAAAACCAAGACCGAAAGAAAATATTTATACCCCAGTTTTATTACAATTAATTTCTTTGCTGCTACAAAACTCCTAGAGGAAGTCATAAAATTAAACGTGTCTGGAGGATCTGGGGCACCCGAGACTCTGTTAGTTGGATTAAAAGCGCTTCAGCAAGCCATTAAACAGTGGAATAATGAGAAAGACGTAAGGGAGTTATTGCTTGTTTTTTATATGTATTTACTAACAATTATTTTTAGTATAATGCTAGTATGCGAGAACAATTGCCATATGGAATTAATATATCAAAACTTCTAAAGGACATTGGAAAGGAAATTAGGCACGCAGAACGAATAATAAATCATCTGAATCCGCCAAAACCCGAAAGGGAATCGAAACGAAAAAGGAAAAAACCTGTTAATACGGACTTTGTAGATTATTCGCTATCTCCGAAGGGATTCAGTTTTGACGTAAGTTCCAAATTGAACAAGCTAATAAAGCAAATTGCGACGCAGTGCAGTTTTCACTTTGCAGTCAATATCAATGATTTAAAAAGGCGAAAATATAAATCCCTGAATAATTTTTATTTATGCTCCTCATTAGTTAACTCCTTTGGAATGTGTGACAATATTGAGAGTCTTTAATTTGGCTTTTATATAGTTGGTATGTTTTGTCTCATACAACTTTATATACCTTATACAGGTATGGAAAATACTGATTCTTATGTTTGTTTTAGTATATGCCATTACCTTCAGCAGCTTATAATCCATCACCTCCTACTTACTCAAAAACTACTACTAATAACACGGATTTAAAAGTAACGCTACCAAAACCAGCTACTTTTCCATATGATAGATCAGTTTCCAACTCCCATGATCCTAATCAGACTGTTTTTAATTCACAACCACTACCTAGTATGGATAATAGTCATTTGTGGAACGTACCATTCGAAAGACCGCAAGAAACGGTAGCAGAGTACAAAGGGGGAACTGTTTTGAAGTTCAAATTAGGGTCAGTCTTGTTTTTTCTGTCCATAGTCATATTTCTAAATCGTTCTCTTTTTTAGGGCGAAAGATTTAATTTCTCCTGCGATAGTACAAAATGGTGTAAATATACCAGGCAATCCTTATGATGATGCTTTTGAGAATAAAGACGTTTACGATTTTCACGATGACAGTGAGAGAGACGAAGACTGCTTTAATTTTACTATCGATGAGAATCCGAAAAGGAAAAAAGGCCGGATCAAAACCAAATTACCTGGTAAAATATTTATGAAATTGTGCTCGTAACGTTCTCAATGTGTTATACGATATGAATTTTGAAATTTATGATTCTGAGATTTGTTAATAAAAATGATTTTTTTTAGTGTCAAAACAATCCAAAAATCATAAAATACCAGTGAACCTCAGTACCAATGGAATAGAATCTCTTCTGCAGGCGTCTCTCTCAGTGCCGTAAGTTGTACTTTTGCTATTAAACTGTCATGTACATTTATATCAGGCAAAATATACATTCTAAGCGATGTTAGGAACAGATCGCATGGAGGCACGTCGCCTTCAACATCAGAAGCAATAGCTGGTATGCTTTCGATAAGTCAGAATTGGACCCCTACGAGTAAGAGTAGACAGTATCACAAAAGTCCAGAAGAAGATGTCAGTAATGTGCATCAAGATGAAGATTATAGTGAGTTTTTCTGCTAGAAAGTTGTATCAATAATTATTATTGATCGTTATTATTTTATAGTATACCCGTCTCTGGATAATTCTGATGATGAAGATATCCACATATTTAAGCCCAGAGGACGAACTAAAGTAGATGAAGCTTGGAACCCAAAGGCAAGAGTAGGCCCACTTCTGCCAAAAATGAACCGTCCAGCTCGAGAAGGTACCAAGAAGCAAGCGGTGGAAAAGGTATTGGAGGCAGCTGCAGCAAGAAGGTGTATTGATAGTTCAGATAAGGTAAGTTTTTATAGGTTTTGAAGTCGCTATATTTATTAGCTTCTGAGATTATAAATATTATTTATTACTTAAAAATGAGAAATTTCTTGATTAAAAATTCAGGACATTTTTTATGCTCTGAATGAATGAATCCTCAAACGCTTACGCCGCCACTGAAATATCAAATGTGTTAAGATTTTTTTTATAGATTCCGCATTTTGCTGGATCCTGGGCGAATCGAAATCGTATATAGTAGAGTTGTTGAGCAAAAAATCGTAACTACCTAGTAATGTGAAAGTTTTATCGGATCATTTTGGTTTCCTTCCCAGATTTTTTTATTTTTATTTTGGTACCCCAGCGAAAATCCTACAATATAGGAAGGACTAATGTTTTGTTTCGCAACTGCAATCATTGCAAAATTTCTTTGTATCTGCGTTCGTGATTATCGAAAATCATATAGTAATAGCAAACGAGTGAAGTTTTCGCAGTGATCATTTTAAAGTGGTGCAGTTTTTGTCGAGTTGAGCCGGTTGGAGTCGAGGCAGTTAGTATGCGCTCTGACTGTAAATATATTTGATCAGATCTCAAGTATTTGCTTAATACGAATGAGTGGCAAAGCAACGTATTTCGAGTCGCAGAAATGTTCGATGTTGCTAGTTTCTATCAAACATTTCTTGATATTTGTCAAGAATGTTTTCTTGTTAATAGTTATTGTGGGATTAGCTTCGTATTTTTGTGCCCACCGGATCCGGTCAAATCTTAGAAGGTTGCCTCTGTTCATAAGCTGGCTCGCGAGTAGCAAGGCATAATCGCCATAAAAGACTTGAACATATATTTTTGGAAAGCAGTTGTGCGTGTTGCATGGAGATAGTGTTGGAAGTACGTGATACAGCTACAACCAACTATTTAGAATAGAAACTTTAACGCCCTGTTAATACAGTTCGATAATTCGTAATCGACAGTATATTGAATAGAGATGGTTGGTATTTAACGTAACCGCTAAAATAACAGTGTTCCAAACGTGTAACCTGAAACCGTAGTTACAGCTAGCCGATTTAACCGTTTTTTTTTGGAACCGTCTCATAAAACCGCAATAGCGGTGCGCACTTCGGACACTGTCGAGCAATCTATCTAGCTGCAGCCGTTTGCCAATTTAAACCGTCTCATAAAACCGAAACAGTTGTGCGCACTTCGCACCAGCTGCAGCCGTTTGCCGACTTAAAGGTTTCCAGTTGCAGCAGTTTCAGTAACCATATACGGAAAATATGTTGTATGTAGTTGCGCGTTGCCTTGATAAATGTGTATCACTTTTTGTTTATAAGAATTACTGTTCAGTTCTCCAGGAACCAGCGAAAATTTGTTTAGTTGCTGCGATGATATAATTCAGCATTTTTAGTCTGTAAGTATTTAGTTTTCCGAAATCTTAAAAACGGGATTTCTCTCAAGAAACTTAGCTCGGGAGTTATATGCCCATTACCCGCAAATTAACCAGAATGTACACTTGCATACGAGCTATGAGCAAACTAAGAGTTTAAGACATAAATTTTATCAAAGTTGAAATGTAAAATAACAACCGTTTTTAGCAGAATGTGCACCTGAATTTAAGCAAGCTGGCCATTTTTAAATATAAATTCAGTCTGAGATGAAATGAAAGTTATTTGAAAAGTAATAAACGTTGTAGGGTCGACATATATTTTTTTTAAATTATTTTTTAATACCAAAATTAACTCGAGTAATACTTCGTCCAGGTTTGCCAAACACGCATTTATGTTTGTTGTTATTGTGGATTATTTAATGTTATTGTGAAACGAAATGCGAGAGATTATTTTTTAAAGCGGGTGCTATCATAAACGCGCGAAGAACTAGAAGCAGTAAAAAGCATCTGCTAACAATTTTATTCTTAAATGTTAATTAATTTTTAAATGAAAATGAGATTTTTAAACGTTTTCGCATATAAACCGTATATTTTATTTAATCACTAGTTTATTATCAGTTTTTTGTTCTTTAAGTAGTTACTTCTAAGGAGTAATTTTAAGTAGTTACTCTAAAGGAAATCATTATATATCATCACTATTTCTACTATCATCATCATCATCATTCTGCATTTTTAATCAGAAATTTAAAAAGTAACATGTTCCTTCTGGAACCGCATTTTGAACCCTATTACCTAGGTGAAACTGAAACATTGTAACCCGCTCAAGAAAAATAACCGTTTAGCACACCTCTAATATTGAGGTATGTTTGGGTAAATCCTATTATTTTAACATCTATAATCTACACTACACTATGGCGCATCCTTCCGCCGGTATTTCAGAACGTTTTTTAAACTGATTGGTTCAAGTGTAATGGATATCTCTTTTATAATATAAGGTAAGCAGACGGAAGGAGGAGAAATGAAGTTATTTATGCCGCCTGCTATGCGTTCAAGGTAAAAATGTATGCTATTTGTTGGCACTATTTGGGGTACGTCTAATTAAGATAATGTCTGTACATATTTTATTAATTACCATGGTTTATTAAATATTTTTAGTAAATTGGGGTATTAGAAGTTTGTGAACATCATAGTTATTAGAAAGCTAAAGATAAACTTCTTTATTTTTAATGTGCTTAAGGCCTGTGTCCCATGCATTCGTTTATACGATGGTACGATGATACGAAAGTGTTTCTATTACTATTTTCTATACTAAAGAAACACTTTCGTATCATCGTACCATCGTATAAACGGATGCATGGGACACAGGCTTGACTTCTTTTTGAAGCGCCGTACTCTCTCTGAGAGCGTACGCGACCTCTCGCGCATACTTGTGAACGCACCATACACAAGTATATCAGGAATATTTTTTTTATTGAATTCCGGTTCCTAACGGCCGGTCTATTTGAGAAGTTCTGGGCAAATTCTGCCCAGGAAATGCCTGGCACCTACCCAACCTACCACAAGGCATGTTCTGCCTTGTGGTAGTTTGTCATTGCTTTCACGAGGTCGCCACAGCACAGCTCCGTGAAAAATCGGCTTGCTGAGGATTTAAACCACCACCAGTCCACTGTGACTACTTTATAATTTATTAACGAAACGTTTGCAGATCCTTTTTAATTATAAGCAAGTAACACAATTTTCATATTAAAGTTGCGCCCCAATAAAAAAGTGAAAAGGAAGTAGAAAATGTATATTTTGGAGGTTCTTCTTTTATAGTATGGCAGTAAAAAAAAATGTGATCAACATTTCAGAGTTTTCTACCGTCGTCAAAGCGTCAATACCGCCGTAAAAAGTCAAAACCAAAGATAGAAATAAGAAATCCATCGAGCCAAACGCCTGGTTCTCATCTGTTGCAGCCAGGAAGTAGTTTACCCGGCTGTCCGACTCTTAACAAAACACCGAGTTCATTATCTTCCAGTTCTTCAGGACCTAGTACCCCTGCAACTTCTAAACCGCGAAAAGGGATGAAGACTGTTAAACAACGATTAGGTAAAATTTTGAAAATACATAAGATGATTCATTAAGCCATTCGTAGTTCTTTAGTTTTACTGGACTCAATACATTTGTTTTGGTGAACAAAACTGCTTTGAATAGCTTGTATATGATTAGATCAATCTCTATCTTGTTCCTGGTATACAACTAACGATTATTACTATTTGGACATCTAGTACGTACGGATGCTCTTAAACAGATGTGGTTAACGATTGTGCGCTGCTGACGAATTCGTCTATTAAAAACAATAACATGACCGATGTAAGTACAGGTCTAGCGATATGCTAATTTCAGACACCCCTAGGATCGGTTTCGCGCCTTCATTAGCTGGGTTTAACCGTAAAATAACGGTCCCGAAAACTACTTGTATTTCGCCTATGTATTTTGGCATGGGCGAATTACATGTACATGTTTTGGTAGTGTTGCCCTATAGGTGTGTAATACTTATTCATTAACAGCTTGTATACGCAAGAAGTGAAAGATGATGGTTTTTCAAGAATGCGAAGTTTTCAATTTATTTGATTAAAAATATAATTAATTACACCGATATATTGTCACTGGGCCATTTTCAGCATTTTTCCAGCATACATGTTTCTTCAGAACTATTTATTCTTTGATTCTTTCATACTGTCACCATGACTATTCATACAATTTTGCCAATCATTTCACACTAATGATTTACACTTTAAAAAGGAATATTAAGTCTCCAATATGGGCTCCTTGAACATACCGATAACACCTGTCCCATGAGATTTGGAATCTTGGCAGGTATCCTGGCCAAATTTTTTGCTACCGGTTTTTGGTTTATTCTGTTTTTCAGAGATTGAACAATCTTCTGGCAAGTGTTAAGTTTTGATTACTATCTCTGTACTTCACCATTTATAGCTTTCGTATTCAAGAGTAAAAACGTGATCGGAAGAGGCCGTGCCCGTAAATTTCTGTATGAGAGTCCTTCCACTACATCTGCTCCCCCTTTAGAAAAGCTGTATAAGCTTATTATTTCGGGTAAACTTTTCTCCCCAGTTGTTTCATCAATAGCCCCATCATGGTGCATGATAAACATTTTTTTGTACTAGATAAAAGTATAACGTCTTTTTGGAAGCCAAGTAAAGAGATCTTTGATTCTCTGTTCTGAACTGCCAAAAATTGTATTGGAATGCATCGTTTATTTTTTCTCACCGTGCCTACTGACGTAAGATTATGCTTTTGATCCCATGCTCTGAATGCTTGTTGAGGTGCATGTACTGTTTGAACTTTGATCTTCCACGAAAATATTCCAAGTTCTCAGATATCGAGGAATTTCAAAAGACCATGCACATTGATGAATTTCTACCATCATGGTACAGACAATGTTTTTTTTAAATATTGTTTCTACCAATTGAGCTATGAAGAAAAGTGTGTAACGCATTTTTCATTTTAAATTCGGTGTTTCGAAATATCCTAAATATGAGCGAAATAGCGATAGAAAGCATTGTAAGCCTTTAACCCCAAAGAACTTATCTAAAATTAAACCATATAAAAATGATTACAAATTTTGAACTCATTCGATTGGCCCGAATGGACTCATTAAGTGACAACCGGCACGACTTTTTAGGGGGTGGTCTGAATCAATTCTTAACTATGCAGCAAACAATTACAAATCATGTGAAGTCTTTAACGTTAGAACATATTCAAAACATTTTTAATTAATTCAGCCAAACAAATGCGGTTTTCAAATAAAAACTAATTTTTAGTTAATATGTTTATAATTAGTTTTTGTTGCAAATTTGTTTACGAAACAAGCTGTTTAAGAGTGATTTTATTTTTTGCATTTCACAATTTTATGACTCAAAACTCAGCCGTCTAAATATAAACAATTGAGATCATCCCACTTTTTGTTACATATATTCTGAGACATATCGTATATACTCTTAAATGCACTCACTGTAAATGTACGTTTTTGGTGTCATATAATATACGAATGTAATTGAAAAATCCCTTGAACGATACTAACTTGGCCTTCTGCAACAGGAACATACTTATCTGAACTTTACTTAAATTATCTTGACGATAAGTCATTGGTTGCAAGTATCTATATGTACGTTACAAAAAAATTCTTTCGGATTTGTAAGCAAGCAGTGTGTTTGCTATGAAACATAGTTAAAGTTAAAACATGGTTTTATATCGAATAGTTTGAGCATAGCATGAGATTGATGTGTGTAGATATTAATTAGGCCCATCAAATCTATCATGTTATATTCTTACAAATATTTAAGATATGTTGAGTGTTGTTTGAAAAATTTAAAAATATATGACAACATACGTTATTGAATGGATGTTAATGCTCAAAAAGGCTAATTCAAGTATAGCGGCTTATGGTAGGGATTTAATGTAATTTTATATTTAGGTGGAACTTTCATTACACTAAGCCGTTTAAGTTATCAAATTGTAAAATATATGTATGTACATTGAGCGCTCTTTAGTCAGTACTTTTTCAATTTCAATGTTAGCCACTAAATATAGTTATCAGCGAAAGTCTAGATGTTGAACAAGTTTGTATATTTGTGATACATTTTTAACGTTCATTTTTGCTGAATATAAGTCAAACATGAATTGGAGAAAATATAATGTGTGCACTGCATATTATACTATTTTTATATGATACTACGTTGTACTTGTAATAACATGTATAGATGATTAAATTATTAGTTACTATTATTTAGTGCTGCATATTCTTGTATTATATGTACATTATTATATCCAAAAACATTTGTCACTTCCTTTTCTATGTTGTAAATAGGACACGTTAGTTTCTGTGATGTTTGCAAAATCTTACTTTGCATTAATGTCTATCGGCTAATATTTTCATACTTTTCTTGTCTATTACTGAGCGCTATTTTTTTGCCTGTCTTGAGATTGGTAGCTTTTGATAACCACACGAAAGGATATTAAGAGTTCAGATACAGCACCTCAAGAACTGGTATTATCTAGTTGTATTCACTGAATTGAAAAGAAACGCTCTCTTTGTTTAAAAACTTGTTTTATTTGAACTTCCTGTTTCCATATTTCATATTCATGTCGGCGTGTAGAAAAAGTGATGTATTTTTTTGTTTCTTTGTGCGATCTGCATTCGAGACGCCAAAACCCAACACCGACTAAAGCCTCGGTCCCATGCATCCGTTTATACCATGATACAATGAATATTCATTGTATCATGCGATTATACGATGATACGAACGTGTTTCTATTGGTTGGAATAGAATACATAGGACATGACGCCAGTAAAAATATTTTTAAATATACACCGTTTGTCTCGGGCCTCAATCCTGCGCATCGTTGAGTGTGAATAATTCCATATATTCTTGGTCAAAAATGACCAACGTTTTCAAACGTTGCTATATCGTCTAATGAGTAACTTGCCTTGAGATAGTCATCATGCTTTTAAAATATTCTCAATTAATTGAGAACAATTTAATATAAAATAAGCTCTAATGACAGAAAGAGAGAAATATTAATGCGAACATGTTGGGAATATCACGGATCCCCCATGAAACAAATAAAAAACCATCGGTGACAAATAATTTCTCATTTAATTAGAACCTAGTTGGTACTATTTTTAAGTTTTATCACAGGTAGGTAGTCATACAAAATTTCACACGCCAAACCTCACTATACGTTAAAAATTCAAAATTTACAAAAGGAAACTTGATAGATTTAAAGTTAGACCTGTATAACAAAGACACTAGTTTTTTATTACGCGACTGAAACGATTTACTCTATATGGTCAGGTTGTTTTCTGAACTCTAACAATTGATCAACATTTAGAACTCTCAATTAACATTTTATGGTTATCCATAACAGACTAGACTATTTTTGATTAAAAAAATAGTCAAAGTAACTTTTTAACATGATAATTGTTTGAAGCCTACTTAATAACAATCATCATTTCATAATAGAATATGTAATAAATTTGGTCGAAAATTTAATTGTATGACAAAACTGATGCATTCATTAAATCAAATCTAGAGCTAGTTGTTTAATTTTTAGATACGTACAGTTTTAGTTGCAATTACTACACACAAACTATTTCTAAAGCAGTTAACCACACTCATCGTTTTTATTTTATATACTAATGCACAGCTTAAACATTTGATATAAATTATGAATACCCCATAAATTACTGAAAAGTATTTCAACTCTGATCGCATAACTTAAATCCTAGAATCACTTTTTTACTTGTGACATGACACAAACACAGATAGTTACGGAATATGTGGGAATGTTGAAATCATGGGAAATTTTGTATATTCCAAACATTATCGTTAAAAAAAAAAGAATGGCAGCTAAATTCGGGCAAACGCACTTGATGTTACTCAGATTTTCCCACTGGGGTTGATAGGCGAGTTGGGAATTATACGCTGCACGTAGAGCCACAGATACCAACAAAACACTTGTTTTTTTTTAAGCGAAGGGTTGCCACTAACTATATTAACTATATCTTGATGTGGTTTTCAGGTAGTTTGATTTCGTTCATTTACATCTGTTTTGAATCAGAATTTTTATAATGATCCAGAAAAAATACACTACTAGACGAATAGTATACTTTATATTTACTCAAGTTGGTAACATAAGTGAAAACAAAAATTTGTTATGTAATTGTAAAAATACTTAGGCCGCAGGTTATCTGATCAAGCGTTAACTGAACAACTATCGTTATTTAAGTTTCTGAACGAGTTATTGAGCGCTTGCTCAGAGAGCGAACATTACATTACGTAAAATGAAATCGCGGAAATATAGTGTAGCACCATGACACACAGCACAATTTAACTGAAGTGATAGTAAAAAGATTTTAACTGCATTTCTTAAAAGCATGAAACCAATAATATTTACAAATGTTTAGCAGCGGTAAATTTAATTTCATATTATAAAGAAGTTAGTTTTTACATTGTATTCATCAGCTTACCTTTAAATATGCTTGTGTTTTACAGATGCATGTACAATTTTTTGAGCTTAATGGGCTCCATAAGACTAACTTTGAAAGACTAACTAAGAAAATTTTGGTATAGTAAAAATTCTGGATGCGCTTCTACAACAAATGTATTAGCCATCATGTCGTAACTCGTACGTTTATACGGAAAAAGGTGGAAAGTAACACATAATGGTAAAAGAAGTCCAACAATGAGATTCTTCAGGATGGACCTGATAAGTGCCCTTTGCCATCCTAGTGGTTTAACTCCTGTAGCTGACACAACTTCTGTTGGTCGATTTGGTATCAGACTAACGTTTTCTATGTTGACTACCATAAGACCCATGCAACGTTTTCCTGGTGTAGCACATGTTTTACCTCTTAGAAAGTAAGTCTAGAATTGGAAAGATAAGACATAAGATGTGTATACTGTTCTAATTTGCAAACATAACACAGCTAGTAATAAAATCAGGAAACGTGATAATGTCTTACTGATGTTTTAAAACATATTCTATCAAATTTCCACATAACACGGAATGGTACAAATATATATACTATATCTGTCTGTATTGAGAAATAGGCGTGAGAATTATTCGTGTTATTGATCTTAGTGCGATCTGTTCTATTGTCTGTACAATAGTCTGTTGCGTGTTTCACCATGTATGTTGAAGAAATTTCGGAGTTACTACAAATGCCACAGCACTTACCTCAAATAAGCACACTACAAATCTATGAAGAAACTCAAGTAAAACAAGTTCAAATGCCAGGGGGAAATTCAACTCTTGTCCATCTAAAAGCCCTTTCTGCAATAGATCTAAGCCATAAAGATCCAAAGCATTTCTAAAATAATGATTAGTAATATATGGGCGAATTTAATACTTCAATAACTTACCCAATACTAAAACTTTCCATAAATAAGAATGTAAGAATAAGTTTCAATGTAAATAAAATGCAAAAATCTATAAGTTCCGCACAAACTCTCTTCCAAACTGGCGGTACTTTCAGTTCAAACGTAGTCGGGAGTCTCAATAGATTGGGAGGTGGAATAACTAAATAGTAAACAGATATTAAGTGAAAAACTGTGTTAAGTTGAAAGCTAATATGTGCCTTACATGGATATGTTTGGTAAAAAGGCACTCCAGACAATGTGTTATTTGTATTTCCATTAGGAAATTGCTGCATCTGCGGATTGTTTTGTGCATGAAATCCTACATTCTGCCCAAATGCTGGATTTTGATAAAACAGAGCATATGGGTTTTGGTAATTCTGTTGTTGGGATCCGTCTGGAAAAGGGGCTCCTGGGAGGGGATTGGGAAAGTTCGATGACAAAATGTGCCATAATCTAGCTTCATTCAACCACTTCCTAAGTTTTTCAAAATAATCTTCCCTATCTTGTTTAATTTGCGTCCAATCCATTTGTTCATGATATTTTTCCTTGTTAGGTATTGTTTCTTCCATTATCACGAGTACATCAACGAAGCAACACTCATAGCCAACGCAATAACTTACGTGTTTCCACTTTTAACTATTTTTAGTGGAAAACAGCAAAATAACAATTTGACAAGATAATAAAGATAAATTTTGGCGTTTACTAACATCAAAACTATAGACTGAAAACTGCAAAAAAGCCTGTAGAATGCTACTTGGCTCCTATTCGGAGCGGCTGCTTTCCAAACTAGAGCCGAATTTAAATTTCCACTGCTTGCAGAAGAAACCTTCTTTACCGATTGGGTTCACATCAAAATTTAGAGGGAGATTTGAATTCAGTTTATGATCTCCCCATTATTGTAAAACTCAGCTAAACTTCACAGTTATCAAATATTATAAAACAGATAAAATTGTATTCTGAAGCTTAAACAGTAAAATGTTGTATTCAAACTAGGCCCGGGTAACTTAGTGAATTTTTAGGAGTTGGCGCAGTGTTACGCAAATGACTTGGTGCGTCAAGCAGACGCACCGGCGGAGTAACTCAGTTCCCTTGCCGGGAAAATGGTGATGACGGATTTATTGTAGGGGCTATTTATTAATAATCTTTTTAACATTTCTCAAAAAGTTACTCTCTGGAAGGAAATCTCGTCACCTCCATTCCTCTGAGACTATAGTTTTTTTTAAACAAATAAGGTTTTCTCCAAAACCGAGCACAAAACTAAAAGTTTTTAATCGAAAAGGCGAAAACAATTATTTTCTTCTTTTCTGACATTTATGGGGTCTTTTCAGCCAAAAATTACAAAATTAATTTTTGCAGGGAAGTTTAGAAAACCCATTTCAGCTTCGAATTTGGCACAAAACCAAATAATTTTATTCAGTTTTTTATCGAGAGCAAAAGTTCACAAAAAAGTTATTATTATTACTTCAATTAACAGAACACCACTGAAAGAATCATCTTCACAGGTTTTCTGTGACATCTAATATGTTTTTATTGCAATATTCCCTATTTCAACATCCACTTCAACATCCTGTTGATTGGTTGGGTTGTAAAAGTGCAGATGGCGGTGCTGTAAATAATATGATTAACGATTGACATTTACTTCTCCTTCGCCTTCGCCTAACATGCCAAATTAAATTTCCTTGAGTGATAGGCAGACTCATTATTTCGTCATCAACCCATAATAAATAGATGTTTTGTCATAACTATAATATGCAATAATCCGGAAAGGTTTCAGGTCATCATTTCTTAAAACTTGTTCAATTCCTCAGTTTAAAGAGTTGTGAGTGACAGAAACGAAGTTAAGCCGCACCTTGTCTCCCTTGTCTGTGCTGCGTGTGTCATGTCTGTAGTAGTGTAGTGAATAATTGTTATGAAGCTCCTTTAACTGAACTGCCTATTTATATATTTTGGTAAGTTTTATCTTATCAGTTAATCTGCCTTGTAATAGACTCCTATTTTAGTAGATTAAGTTCATTAGCCGATAAAAATTGATCAACCTTCATAGTGGGTTTCAGTTTTTATATGAACTTTTTGTGTTTATTTTTATCTACACTCACATTTAAAAAGCTGTTCAAGATCCCACGTTTTATTCAATTTACATGGTTTTATAGGTTCGTGTTACATTCATAGATCAATTCCCAATTGTTACTTTTGTTTGTTCATAAAACTAAATAGCATTTAGCCCCAGTTATACCTAACTATCACACAATTTATTATCTATGTTTATAGTTGTCCCAATGAGCATATTATTATGCTGTAATTTACATTTTCTAAATTGCTGTTAATGATACGATGACTTCTTTAAGAACTAATTTACCACTTAAAATATCATCTTCGAATGATGTCATTTTTATCACTTTGATTAATCCAGTTATACATTAGCTTTAGTTTTTAGATTTTATGGTCTATTCATTATTATTATTATTATTTTAAACAATACTCCTGGCATTTGTATATTGTAGACCTGTAGGGTGATGTGTTGCATATCACCTTGTCATCTTTCTTCTATGATGTCATTCTTATTTCTAGATGTTCAGTAAACACATACATATTTGTTGTGTATTGACATATATATTTATTTCGGCATAGTCACACCCTATATATTATACAATAATAGTATTTCTAATTTTAATTGAGATCTTTTTAACCTTTCAAACCCCAGGTGAAGCCCGAAACAGTTACTGACATTCTTTTAATAGTAGTTTTCAATACAAAGTGTAGTTTTCCGAACGACGACGGTGTTTGACCCCCGAGACGAAGTCGAGAGTGTCAATTCATCAAGAGTTCGAAAAACGGATTTTCATTCGGAAAGACATAACATGAATCATAAGTTATAATAAATAAGAATAGCCAAAAAGAAAAGGCGTCAACTTCAGATTTTAAATCTGATGTTAGTGCCATTTGTGAAATTGTCACGTTTTAACGTTTGTAATTTTTCAAAAACGTACTTTTGTAAGCATATACAAGTGAAACAATGAGTTGAGTGAAACGCTGCTTTTACGTTATGGTGTTTGTATATGATGCATAATTTGCATAAAATTTGCGCTATTTAAAAAAATAGTGTTTTGCTTGCTATAATTTATATATATATATAAATAATCTTTATTTCCTACAGAAAAAGGCTATCGACCCAATCGGTCTTTCTGCCCTATGATTTATGCCAACTTTAAATTTTAATCAATAGTTGTCGATAAACCTGCGTAATTCATTAAAAAAGCATATCGGTTACTTTTTAATGAAAATACTTTACAAACTATAATGACAGTGACATATTCAATTTGTCACATTTACTTTTGCGCACATGTGCGTAAAAATCCGTGCGTAAAAGTAAAACAAATGAACAGTAAGTGAAAAGTGCTTCTTTCAGATTATCGCATCCGATCGAAAAATGGCACTTTTAAATTCATTCGAATAAAAAAATTATTTACTTAATAACACTACCATTTGTATCGATAGTTTAAGTCCTCTCAATGGGCATTATGTGAAACAATTATGTTAGCAACAGTAAAGGGATATAAAAGCAATATACAGTAGCGTACGCGCTAGAAATACGAAATATTTTCTACACTACTTATTATTAAATGTCAGTTTAAATATTTTATTGATGCTCAAACATGAACGTTCTTATCTTTGAAACATGTTTGTACAACGGCAATATTAAGATTGCGCTTATTCCAAAGTTACTCAAATATTATCTTATCTTTGAAATATTCATTCCTTTATGACACAGTACAATCATTTAACTGAATTCAATTTAAAATTAGATACATTTATCGTCACAGTCAATTGAATTCATGAAGATGCTTTATTTCTACTGCTCATTCATTCGACATGAAAAGCTTGAGATTGTAACTGCAGTAGCTACTACTATGTAAACTAAAGTATATAACGAAGTATGCAGGGCGTCCGTCCGCCAAGGTATTCGCGATAATTTATGAATTGTATGACTCATTTTAACCAAAATTTATAATTTTCATCTGTGCAGGAAATATTGGGGGTTAAATTAAAACCTTACAGAACATAGCCGTTGGATTTACAATATTTTGCTTTGTATCTTATAATAACAACACATAGTGATTAATTCCGTATTTACTGATAGTTTATCTAATCAACTGTTAGAAATCTGCCCAATCCATACAATAATAAAATCGATTTTCTATTTAATATTTACAATCTGTAACGTATTATATTACAATCTGTAACGTGCGTTATTATAGAACGTATAGAGAAGCTGGCGGTGGTTTATAAACTGTATCTTCAAATGGCCCCATAGCCAGTTCTCCAGTCCTCCCAAGATCTGGGGACTGGGGTTTTTTCTATGTTATACTTTGAATTAATAATTTTTAAATTATAAATAGATTCGTATTATCCACCGTTGCCATTTTTTGTGGTATTTCAAGAGTTCATTAACTTCTTGCTGTCTTATTTTTTGAAATGTCGATTTTCAGGAAGATTTTTTCGTCGAACGTAAATCAACAATTTGTTTCGTTCGCATCTCATTAGCTTTTTCTTGATTTTGTCCTGGAAATGAAGTGATTTTGATGCGCTCAAAAATACATTTTATTCAATTTAGTTATTTGTTGACCACTAACGACAATATTTTGAAAGAATTTTTCGCGAATGTAAATCAACAGTTCGTTTCGTTCGATTCTCATTCTATTTTCCTAAGTGTCTGCTTTCTTAAGTGTTCTTTATGGCTTTTTATATGGGCTTTTTACGGACGACTGGAGCGTTTTTCGATCATATGCCAATGAACAAGTTGGTCTTTTTTCCAGTCGGTGTGTTTTACAATTATTATAGAATTTACTAACTCACAAAACATATTTCTATATTGTCATCTTAAACGGTTTCCAAAGTTCTTCTGCTCTTTTCTTGTTCTTTATTGGCAATTTTTCAATTATTTGAAGCAATTTTTTTTGCTACCAAACCGTGTGGCTTTAGCTTAAGGAATGGTCATGGTGTGCCTTTAAAGTTTCTTTGACTTGTTGGTTTTGCAAATAAAAATCTGAACGGTTGGGGTAGATTTTTACATAAAAAGCACATAAGGCACATCTTGGCGTCATGTTCCGGGGACATGACTATTCCTTCGATTTTCGATGATTTTCACTTGGACATTTTCTTCGACCATACATATAAAAGCTGTTCGCACCATTCGCTTCAGAGCTCAAAATACATAAGGCCTTCTGTGAATGAGAAAAAATTGCCCATTTTTTTATTGGCTTTGAAAGTTGCTAGAAAATTATGTTTTATTTTCACGTTTTTTGACGGTTTTGGCTATAAATCTTTTATCGCTACCTAGACAAAGCATAAGCGCACAACTGGATTCAGCAGCTCAAAACACATATAATTTAAAACAAAACTGAACAATTACGGTCGTTACAGGCCAATTTATTGCCCTTTCACTCGTTTTTCGAGTCTTCCCAGGATTTTTGCTTATAACCAACTTTTTGATGATACTTATAAAAACTGATGATACCCTTCGATTCAGCAGCCGAAAATACGAATGAAAAAATTGCTTCAATCATGAAAATCCGAAATTTATACCGATTTTTAGGATACACAAGTTAACACGTTTTTTCCATATAAATTCGATGGGAAACTTGAGGCGCTTTGAGGCACGTGATAATTCCTTTTTGCGCACAGTTTTAGAGCCTATAGAAAATATTTTTGGCCGACGCGGAAGCCCCGAAGAAGAAAAGAAATTAGGGTCCGACTTAACGGACATGCGGTTTCTTATTAGCCTTTTCAACAATTTAGTAGTTTAGCACTATTCCAAACATCCGGTATGTTTTGGAAAAACTCGAACTTCTTTTTTAGTAATCGTTTTAGTTTTTTTAATTAATAGTAATAATATTATAATGTTTATCTCTTGAAATTGGGTTTTTGATAAATAAATAACATTTTGTTTATTCACACAATATAAAACCGTTTATTTATGTTCATCTGTTTCACTAACTAGCATTTTTAAAATTTTAAGTTTTTTAGTTATTTTAGTAATGGATTACGTGCAAATGTTCTTACATTAAATTGTTGCACATTGTGTACACTTACAGACTTTATTTCTGTTTTGTTTTTTAATCGGTGTTACTCTACTGACCTCGGCTTCTCATTATATTTTATATCGATTAGGGTCAAAACAGAAAAACAATTTATTTGTGGAATTTTATCGTTCAATGGAAAATTCTTGTTCCATTATTCAAGATCCTGCATAAGTATACCACCCTACTTTTGCGAATTTATTCGAGATGCCGTGAATTATTTATGCAATTGATTTTTTTTTAGCTGTACAGGGTGGTCGGTAATAAATGCGTCTTAGTGTAATTGCAGTTTCTAAACATGATAATATTGAATTGAATTGAAATGAATAAAAAAATAATCTTGCGGTCAAGGGTGGACATATTCTTTGTTTCATGCATTAAATTAGCAAAATCCCGAAAACGGACTGCTTTATCGATAACAAACAGGTATGTATATCTCTTTACCATAAAAGCAACCAGTTTAGCAAGTGCGTTATTCAAAGCCTCGACATAGCTGTGTATTAAAAATAAATTAAGAAAAATAACCAAACAGTACCCGTTATAACCAAATTAAAGGTTAAAACCAAATTTAAATGTGAATTTAGTAGAAATGGCGAAATAAATGAAAACAGAAGCTTGAACGCCCTGCATTATCGTAAGCGACAGCATACTGAGGTGTGTTTGAGTAAATCCTATCATTAACATATAGAATCTACCAATACACGATGGCGCATCCTTCCTCCTGTATTTCGGAACGTTCTTTAAACTGATTGGTTCAAATGTAATGGATACCTCTTTTATAAAATAATGTAATCAGACGAAAGGAGAACTGAAGTTATTTATACCGCCTATACGTTCAAGGCAGAACTTTATGCCGTTTGTTGGCACTCCTATTTGGGGTCCGTCTAATTAAGATAATGTCTGTACATTATCAAGTCGAGCAAAAATTATATTGAAATTATATTAAAAAGTTGGTTTTCATTGGAGTGTGAATTTCTCAATAAGCAATATTTGTTTCAAATATATACAATGTGTTTTACGTTTTGCTCTATTGAATAATTTCTTAAATAACTGCAGCAAATATTTTTAAAACCTTAAATTTTTTAGTAGTAGATCCGTACAATTTAGAAATTGCTGATTTTATTTCGTACAATCCTATATTATAAAGGGTGTTTTTTACGTAGGTAGTACTACTTTAACCTTTTTACCGCCACTTACTAGGTAATTTTATCATTCGGGGATTGTTAATATACTTCAATTTTTTATAGCTGACGCAACTGAATAACAAAGACTACATTGAAATTATTTATTAATGTTTGCAATGTAATTTCGTTTTTTTCTTGGTTGAAAACTGTGCAAATTAGTCAAGCGCTACAGCAAATTAAAAGGTGTTATAAATACACCTTTGTAAAAACCACATTTTCTAAATGTTTTTTTATATGAGCTTTATTACCCCATATTTCGAACATGACTAGCTTAAAATATGTTTATTGTGTGCAGTGTGCGTAGCCTTAGCACGTCTCTTGAATTTCCTTATCGCGGATTTCCCACACCGATTCTGATAAAACAACAACCTGCAAATGCAGATGTGGTTTTCCGTTGAACTGCAAATAATTCGGTTTTGCAACACCACTATATTTTGTTGAGATTGATATAGCGAAAATACTGGAACTTCGCAGTCTTTTGTTTTGCGAATCTTACCAGGTGTGTTTAATATCTAGTAGAGCATAGTTAGGCCGGTATGTTTAGTCGATCTTCGATGCTTTGCCGGATATTGTTTTGGCAGATAACTGTGTGTGCCGTCGTCGACGCGAAAGCGACGGGTTTTTGATGCACAGCTGTTCTTCGTTAGGTGGAATCGCCGACGATTCTCCTATAGAATGAGTATGCGCAATATCGCTATTCTGGTGGCCCCGGCCGTCAGCTTTTACTGTGATATTATTAATTTACTGATAAAAGTTCGGCACTGCTCTGTGTCTAACAAAATAGACTAAACCTTGACTAATGCCTGATAATGGTAATGATGATTGACTCACTATACTTAGTCACTCAAAGTTTACTTTGTAAAATCTTGGAAATTAACTTTCTTCGCAGTTACTTTAATATTTTTTCGATCTAGTGTGTGGATAGTCATCACTTGATCTAACTTACGGAGTCTTCACTTTATCTTAGCTTTAGTTTAGCATGTATTGCTTCTGATTACAAGTGGTGTCCAACGCTATTGCAGCTTTCAGTTGTTTTTTCATTATATTCAGTCTGGATCTTGTATCACAGGCTCATGATGAGCATTTTTGCCTTTACGATCGACGTGAACACGGTTAGCGGTGTTTTGATGTGCCACAGTTCCTAAGTATGATTGTTGAGGATAGAACTTTCTTTTTAAATTGATTATTGAACCGAAGAGCTGCCGAATTTTTCGTGTGTGTGCGAGACACAGTAAATCGCCGGGTAATAATATGTACTGTTTCATTTTCTTGTCCAATGTGGATACTGTGTTCTACATAACTTCACAATTTCAGTTGTGAGTGACTGTTATAACATCTGAATTCAGCATTTCTGCTTTGTACATGTTTATTTTAAGTCCTACGTCTTAGAAGCAGCTATCTTTTTTTATGCCGGTATACATACGCACGTTTTTCCGATTTATTATTAAAGGTTATCTACTTCAGAGAAACTTTTCCTTGTCTCTGATATTCTTGGTGGTTATTGACTTTACGCTTGGATATTGTTCTCACAATAAATTGGTGCAATTTCAGTAAAACCAACATAAATTTCAATGCTTTATTTAGTTCTGTTGTTTTGTGTTGGTTGCGATGTGTAGATCATAACATGAGCAAAGAGCCAAATTCTTTGCCAATGACTCCAGAGAAGCGACTAATTTTTTTTATTAATTTGCTAAACTTATTGCATTCCTACAACACAGATCTTCAACATTTCTAACCCCTAATTCCTTGTCAGTTTTCTTCGAGAATCGCTGCGGATATCGTCATTGCACAGTTGGCAAACAGCAAATAACACTAAAATGTTCCAGAAAATTTTTACAATTCTCAAATAAATTGTTCAATTTATCGATCGCAGCCCAATTCCACGCTTTAGGTTCATATCGGGTGACTTTCGGGTGATTGGCAATTTATTCGCCAATAAATTGGGAAAAAGTACGTGGTGTAACACCGGCTTTGAAAATACTGGTCTCATTTTACTTTACGTGTGGCAGTTCGTAAGGAATAATCAATTTCCTAGTGTCTCAAATATGGTAATAATTCTCTATACCGGATGATGCAACGTTGAAATCATTTTTTAAGGGGTTTCTGGGATATCAATGGAAATTACGAAAACAATGTAAAAAAATTAGTTATTTATATTAATTATTAATATATTTCTCGAAAATAGTAGCTTTAGAAGATGCGCCTTGAACATTCGCTTTTTAGCAATATTTTGAAGTAGTTCAATGGTCAATTGGCCAACTATTACTTGAGCTAAACATTACAAATATTACATTGTATTTGCTTAAAATTCGAAATCGATCTGGAAAAATTGCGATTCTCCAAATTGTTTATGTAAATTATCAACGGTAACTAAGCATTCAGAGAGGTATTTCTTGAGAAACAGTGTAGTATAATATTGAAACAAAATTAAATATAGATATTTATAACGGCATATAAATACAATAAGAAACATACTTCTGTAAAAACAATCATCTTGGCGATCTTAAGAAGCCAGTCTTCCGTAAACAATTTCCTGTCGATACAATCCACTCGCGCTTACCAAACCCGTGGACACTTTTATTAAGAGTTGTGATAAATATTCCAGTTTCATTTTGGGCCAGGGAACTAAGAACCTACTGGTTCTTCATATCCTACTACAATAAACTCTCAAACTTAACTCTTTATTTGATTAATAATAAATATGAAATCATCTCGTTATCGGTGCAAGTATTATTTCGTATCCAAGCGAAAAAACCGTAATTATTACACAATTTTTAAAATTCCATATTTCTCTTATTGACCCAAATATGTTTAGACAACATTATGCAAAATTGATGTGTTAATTTTTGCTTCAGGTGTATGCTTCATACCCGCAGTCATGGAGTCCAAGATAGGCTGCTACTTTTTCATACTCATACTTTGTTATTATAGCAATTGCTGCGTAGCTAGAGAAGGTAAGATAATATTAATTGAACTGCCAAACTATAACTTTGTATTTAGGGTGAACATACTAGAGGGCTTTGACGCCCCTTAAAATTACGTTGGCCTTAAACGCTAAACGTTATTGTGATCATGCTCAGGGTTAAAAAAATAAGGTGTTCAGGCAAATAACGTTAAGGGCGTTTTTTAGTTTTTGATACCGCGCTTGTTACGCTCTTAATAAAATAAACCTCACTGTAATATTTCACACAATATTGTTATTTCAATCCAGTTTTTTGTTAATAATAAGTGAAAGGTTGTCGAAATAATAGCTTATTCTACGGCAGAGAGAATTGATGTGATTAAGTGTGTTATTTAAACTAAGCTAGTTGACGAATTTCACCAGAACACATAAATGTTTCGTTTTCAGTTCCATCACCACCTTTAATCGTTAAACAACCACCTACAGATGAAGTTCTGTTTCAAGTTGAACAAAATGGAGAAAATGACAAACCATTCTATATTGAATGCGAAGCAGAAGGTGAGCCTGCTCCCAAATACTATTGGGTTAAAAACGGAAAGAAGTTTGATTGGCAAGCATATGATGACAGAATTTCTCAGCAAACTGGACGGGGCACTTTGTCTATCTCTAAACCGTCCGAAGTAGACATTGGACAGTACCAATGTTTTGCTGAAAACCAATACGGCACGGCTACATCTAATTCAGTATTTATGCGAAAAGCTGAACTGAACTCATTTAAAAATGCTCTTCCGATCTCCTTATCTGGCAGAGAAGGAGAACCATTTAATTTGACATGTCAACCTCCAGACGGTTGGCCGAAGCCAGTAGTTCATTGGATTATCATGTATACGAATGGAGGATTTAAGACAATTAACTCCTCTCGAATGACTCTGGATCCAGAAGGCAACTTATGGTTTTCTAATCTTACCTTATCTGACAATACTGATAACTTTATGTATGCCTGTGCCGCAACAAGTCCATTTAAACACGAATATAAATATGGAAACCGGGTACTGCTTAACGTGGTGAACGCCGGTGTTTCTGCCGCTCAAAATAAAGTACCTCCAGTTCTACAATATGTTACTCGAAAAAATGAGATTGCTTACCGAGGAAAACGAGTTGAATTGTTCTGCATTTATGGTGGAACCCCTCTACCACAGACTGTCTGGCATAAAAATGGCGAACCTCTTCGATCCACCGATAGGGTCACACAGGGTAATTATGGAAAATCGCTTATTATCAAGGTCGTCGACTTTGAAGATCAAGGAACTTATTCTTGTGAAGTCAGCAATGGAGTTGGTGATTCCAAGTCGTACTCTATCAATCTTAAAGTGTTAGCGATTCCCTACTTTATTGAGGAGCCAAAAGTTATAACAGCTGCAGAGGACGAAACCGCCGAATTTCGTTGTCAAGCGGGTGGTGTTCCGGAGCCAGAAATCAAATGGATTTATAATGGTTTACCCATTGAAAAAGCACCGCGAAACAACCGCCGAAGAGTCGAACATGGCAGACTTATCATTGAACGTTTAGTTAAAAATGACACTGGAAATTACGGTTGCAATGCGACTAACTCTTTGGGTTACGCGTACAAGGATGTATATGTAAATGTTCAGGCTTTGTCACCCGAAATTACGGATGCTCCCCGAGATACTGATGCTGTAGATGCTCAAAGTATAAATATGACCTGTAAAGTAATGGGCGCTCCGAGACCTACAATTAAATGGATGCATAATGGAGAAGAATTAACAGGTGGGAAGTTTAAAATTCAAGAGAGTGGGGACCTTCTTATTAATGGAGTGCAGTTTGACGATAAAGGCAACTATACCTGTTATGCCGAGAATAAACTAGGTAGAGCTAGTGCTAGTGCTAGATTAGATGTGAAAGGTAAGATACATATTTTAGTATCACCAAGTTCAGTTTGACTAATATTAATTGGTTTACAGCACATACTTACATTACTGATGGACCGGAAGATTATGAAGTTGAATCTGGAACTCCTGCTACTTTCAGATGTAACGCAGTAACTGATGAATCTCTAGAACTGGAGATAATATGGCTCAAAAGTGGCCAACCGATCGACTTCGAAGACGAACCCCGATTTGTAAAATCATCCGACTATTCGCTTACTATTACGAAAACAATTGAGTTGGACTCAGGAACATATAGTTGCGTAGCGAGAACTGACTTAGACGAGGCTACTGCACAAGCTCAACTCATCGTGCAAGATATTCCAAATCCTCCGGGTGATGTTGCAGTAGAATGTCACAGAATGGATGCTACCATTCACTGGTCTCCTAAGGGAGATAACAGAGCTCCCATTTTGCGTTATATAATTCAGTATAACACCAGCTTCACTCCTGACTCATGGGAGGATGCATACAATGAAGTACCTCCGGTTGATAGAACTTACACGATTCCCATGAGCCCCTGGGCAAACTATACCTTTAGGGTTATTGCTGTAAATAAGATTGGCAGGTCTCTGCCATCCCCCCATTCAGAAGTATGTTCTACTCAACCTGCAGTGCCTCATAAAAACCCCGACAATGTAATTGGAGAAGGTGATCGGCCGGATAACTTAGTTATTTTTTGGACTCCAATGCCGCAAATTGAACACGCTGCTCCAGGGTTTAAGTATAGAGTTTATTACAAAAGAGACATACCCGGTAAAGACTACGAACCTCCACAAGAAATTACTGATTGGCGAGTCGGTCAACTTGTTATTCCAAATCAACCTTCGTTCCACCAATACCGGATTAAAGTGCTAGCAGTAAATGATGAAGGCGAAGCTGATGTTGCACCGCAAGAAGTGATCGGATATTCTGGGGAAAGTGAGCCTTTAGAGGCTCCACAAAATTTCACTGTTTTAAATGTACAGAGCCCTACAAATGCTTTGTTGAGTTGGATCCCTGTGCCACTAGAGTCAGTAAGAGGTAACGAAAATCACAATTTTTTATGTCACTATTTCTGATTTCATATTGTATTTTCAGGGCACTTTAAGGGTTACAAAATTCGCACTTGGAGTGATCAGAGTCTAATTCACAGTGAAATCCAAGTCCAAGGCGGTAACGCAAAAGCTTTGGTTAACACGTTCGTACCAGATACCAAAAACTATGCTCAAGTTTATGTGTATAATGGAAAATATAATGGACCTGCTAGTGAAACACTCAGTTTTCATACACCAGAGGGTGTTCCAGGAGAAATGGACGTGTTGGAAGCCATTCCTTTGGGATCTTCAGCTTTTATTCTTAAGTGGGAAAAACCGGACAGACCCAATGGAAATCTAACTGGCTACAATATATATTTTGCCGAAGTGGATCAGAATTTAAAAGTGGGCAGGCCAATTCCTAGAACACCTCAGATTAATGATCCCAACAGACTACGCGCTAAATTAGCAGGTACCTAATTAATAATACTTATTTCCCTTATCAAGTTTCCGACTCCCGCACTGCAATTACACTAGTAGTTACTCATTGGGTCATCTTGTTATCTCAGTATACATGGGTTTCCGTAAAACACCACAGATAATTTAAAACTTGTTAGTCATGTTACATGTTTTTGCAAGGGATATACAGCATTGATTCCTAAAAAGTAATCGCTAAATAGCTTTGCACGCGTAGTTGTAACAGAACCTTATTCGGTCGTTGCCCAATTTAATTTAAAATCCATCCCGCAATACTGTGTAATGGAAGTTGTTATCTTAAATATTGCCATTGATGGTTATCCGATAGCCTGACTTCTACAAGAATCATTGCACTAATCAAAGGACATTTTGCTTTTGATACACCTTTATCCGCTCAGAAAGCAATTAATATAGTCTATATAATGCTGAGTTTAAGAATCAACGTGCAAGTACTTTTTTACACATGCAATGCACATCGCAGCATTCCTTATTTTGGTGATAATAAATGCTCTGTTAAATTTTGATTCTCTGATTTTAATTTAGGTCTATCAGATTTTGACCGTATTTGCTTTTCGTTGTACTGTAAAAATCGAATTTCGCCACTCAAAATGCGGCAGGTAATCTTGTTTACGTTTATGGTGAAATTTAATAAGACTTATATTGCTAGACTAGACGCTTATTGAAAAATTTGACTTAATGCTTAATAGGTTTAGAAGTTCTCTCTCCATTTGCCGACTGATTTATCTATTTTCTGTGTCAATTACGGGTCTATCTTATCGTTCGAATTCTAGTTTAGTCTAGATGTGCTTATTTGTGTTTGTAGTTGATGTTGAACTCATCATAAAATATGCGAATATGTTGGAAATGCAATATAGAATATCAACTTGATTGTTAAGGTTATTAAAAGGAAAGGCATTAAACAACTAAACGTTGATCATTACTTTACAGGGCTGAAGCCGGGCACTAAATATCGCATTTATATAAGTGCCACAACAAAAGCTGGCGAATCGAAACGTTACTTTATCGAAAGGAATACAAAACCGTTAGGTTATCACAAACCTGGCATGCCAAGATTTGAATGGGAGCCAGTTAGAGACACCAAAGCAGCTTCTGTAAGAGTGCACTGGATACCTAGCGAAGATGGAAAACCAGGTTCGCACTTCTATGTTAAATACAAGAAGAGAGGCGAGACCACATTTTTGAAAACTCCTGCTGAAAAAAATGAAGATTATCAAGAAGGTCAGTTTTGAAACATTTGGAAACGGCTTTGTCATATAGAAAGGGTATTATTTTACAGTCGCTGGTTTAGAAATTGGAGCAACCTACGATTTTATTGTAACTTCGGTGGAGGGAGACTTCGAAACTGATAGCGAAGTTCAAGAAGTATACACCAATGATGGTATTATTATCACGGCCAAAGAAGCGGTGGCTACTGCTGGATGGTTTATTGGAATGATGCTGGCTATCGTTTTCCTGCTTCTGGTCCTGATCATTGTATGCATTGTTAAAAGAAATCGAGGAGGCAAGTATGCCGTACATGAACGTGAGCAAGCGAATGGACGACACGATTATCCAGATGAAGGAGGATTCCATGAATATTCTCAACCGTATGTATTCTGTTTAATTTTATTTCCGCGTTTGGTGCTAGCTTAACCATCACTAATACTGTTTCAAGCCGCGCTAGCTTGAACTCTGAACAGATTGTTCAAATTTTGGATTTTATAGTTTTCTTTTGTCTTACTCTCCATTCGCGGTATAAATTATCATCTATTAAATATTTGCATGTTAAAAACGTCTAAGATAACAGATATTTTGACCCATATTTTCATAAAATCAAAATTTGAACTTGCGTGCGTCTTAATAATATCTTCCATTAACACGTCTTTAGGTTGGACAATAAGTCCCACGGAAGAGCTTCCATGAGCAGTGAACCAAAAGTTGGTCCTGAAAGTGATACAGACTCGATGGCCGAATACGGAGATGGAGATACAGGTAATGTGTCCCCTACAACTGATTGATAGATTAAAAATAAACATTCTACTGTCTCATTTTGTCTGAGTTAATAGACCATAAAGGATAATACATTTGGGGAAAATTATATAACTTATGTTGTTGTCAAATACGGTTTTTTATAATACACCAAGTATGATAATTTAATGACACAAATATTAATTTCGCATCCAGATTAACTAAATCTTTTGTTTGCTCTTATAATCAATAACAAAAGCGGTTTATTTTTTGAGACCCGTAGTGTTGTTATGTTTTTGTGTTATATTTAAAACAAAGGCGGTTCTAAGATTTTTGCAGGGTGTAGGGAGAAAAAAATCACAAAAAATATAAATTTATTCGACTGGCTTATATATGTTATGATCAATCAGGGACTCGAAATACATTTTAAATGTTTTGTGTAATACAGATTATACTCCCATCATTGGTGTAACTTAAAAAAATTCTATATTTAGCTAGAAAACAGTGTAGAGAAATCGTCACTTACAAATTATCTGTGTTTAAGAAAAGCATATAAATATATTTTTTAAGTGCTTGTTTTTAAGCTAACACAGACTTCATATTGCTAAAATCAAATAATATTTAAACTTACAGAGAACATTCTCTATGTTGCACAAAATATTTACACTGTAGTTTTAAATGTGAGTGAACTTGGATCAATTGAAAACCATATTAGATAATCAATAAATCGTTTTATCAAATAGTTTTGCACCTAATTGATATAATTAAATCCATATGACAGTGAGAAGTAATTCTTTAAATTCTTGCCGTGTTTTTTGCGGCGTAATATATCTGAAATTTAAAATTTTCTTTGTTAAAACTCTAGCCCCTAGTAGACTTCTCCCTGCATCCGTTCTCTATTCTGGATAATTGATTATTTGTTTGTTTATTTTTTTTACGATTTCTGTAGAAGGTATGAATGAAGACGGTTCCTTTATTGGTCAATACGGTCGAAAGAGGGGCCAAGGTGAAACTACGTCACAAGGGTTCGCGACAGTGGTGTAATATGTAAGATTTTTTTTGTTGCTTGTTTTGCTTGCCTGGTTACTAACAATTACTAATCTTTATAATTACTTTATTTAGTTAACTACTATTGTATATATTTGGATATCTAAAATAATATTTGGGAGATACGTAGTTTTGGTAAACATATTTAGGTTGCATTATTCAGTTGAGAGCTACGTAGCTTATGTTTTGATGGTCTGGAAGTAACCATTAGCATTAGAATATAAAACACTTATAAAAAGTATATTTAGATTTCGTTTATATTAGAAAACTATCCAATGTGTTCATATTATAATACCTAATTTATAATAAATTCATGTTATGTGATTGTCATGTAAACCAAAAGCTAAGCCTTTTTTTACTCTGCTAATGGAAAAACTTTAATACTGAAGCTAATATTTGGATCAGGTATCGCATACAGTATTGTGAGCTGATGAACCTAAATAATTATTTTTCTTACGTAACATACTTGTGAAATGGCGAAGCTTGGTTATTATAACTAAGGACGGTGACTATCTTATTTCTCTTGAGCCTGATTCTTAATTTTACTTATGTAGGTTATTATAAACGCTTCAAAATATATCAAAACAGGTTATGAAGCGATTTCTTTTAATATGACTACTTCAATCCAGTCTTTGATATAAATATGTTAAACATTTCTTAAAGAAATTTTCTGAAGGACCATGTAGTAAATTGTTTCTTCTGAAAAATCTGAGAATTTGTTTCTGATCATAAATTCAGCAAAAATCTTCGGAACATATTTTGTTAAGGCTACTATCTCATGTGTTATTAAAAAACTGTTTCAAAAACATATATACATGATTTACGTGAAGTTTGGGAACGTGACTTGAAACTGAAAATGCAGCTGTTGTAAGCTTTTTTGTACTTTACCGGACTGTCCTTCATCAATTCCCACGTCATTTGAAATTAATATGCGATTTTTTTTGCAAATTTGCTTTATTTGGGTCCTTCAAGCACATTGAACTAAAATATAATTTCAGAAACATCGGAATAGCGTTCGCTTCTACTGAGTTGTGTGGTAGTCTTATATTAGTGAAACTCCGACTTACTTTTTTCACATTTTTTTATGTACACGATGGATAAAATAAATTAGCAAATCGTGTTGTTAACACGATTTGTTAATTCATTTAATTGTGTCTAGTTAGGTAAAATAACACTAATATAGAAAAGAAACGTTCTTTAAATTTATTAAACTATCACATCTGGTGACTGCTTGAGCACGAAAGTTATTAAAAGTGCAATACATGCACTCGGTGTTTTGGTTTTGTGATAGGAGGTTGTTGACTGAAATCATGCAGCTTATAGTTGTGAATAATGCCTATATAATTTGTGTAAAATTTTAGGTCGGTTCACTGAAGACGGTTCATTCATTGGCCAGTACGTTCCTAGTAATATGAAGCAAATTGGCGCAGCTGGAGCGACCGGTGCTAATAACAACGCGATGGCAACGTACGTCTAGAAAAATTATGAAATTGCTTTAATTATGGAAACTGTCACCCTTTTCTTAGCCCACGTTCACGTAGTGTGTAGTAGTTAGTTACTTGGTTACACCACAAATTGGCACGCTATCTCGACTTTTGTTTGGCTTTTTTGTGATTGATTCATTGCGATAATTCGTCCATTTGATTTTACTAGTTTCTAATGCTTACGAATCAAAATGTGAATTTAATATATTATATAGTAATATATTTTGTTGTTCGTTGCAGTTTAAAAATATTGACTATGTACCATTTTTAAATTGTAATGGTTTTGTTAATCAAAGTAGTAATTTCATGTAATTTTATTGTATTATATTTTATATATACGCTATTAAGTTTAAAACCTGTTGGCTTAGGATAAAAGACATAGTGCTTTTAAGAATATTTTCCAAGATACCTCCTTAATTGTTTGGCTCGATATCAACTCAAACACAATTGAAAATTTGATTTAAAGTTTGACTTTCGTCCATACAATGAAAGATTAACTCCAAATGTCTGATCGCTTCAAATGTTACTTTTGTGTTAATGAAGGAGGTTCAAAACTCATTTTTTATGACATTCGAATTAGTTGTCTGTATTATATAGAATATATATATTAATGACACTGCCTAATGACTTGAATAAGTTATGCCATACTTTCTTCGCAAATTTCAAGCATTGTCACCTCCATGACATTATTTATTTTAGTTTTCAAAATAGTAGTCCATGCTCCCACAGTGGAGGTGTATGCATACGATTGAAGGTGAATAGCGCACTGCTTTCTGCACAAGTATTGCGCAGGAGGTTGTGCGTTATTCACCTTCCCTCGTATTTTAGTTTTATCAATTACATTGACAAGGTTTCAAATCAATATTACATGCAAACTAGAACATGAACAGATTTGATGTACATTTTTTTAGCTTAAAATCTGATTTTAATTATCAGCTAATTTCAATATTTTGGAAACCTTGTCGCCAAATCTATTTATTAATCTCCGTTTATTTGTTTGCTTGGTTCCTTGTATGAGCTTGAAAACATCACACAAAATTATTACTCGATTTTAGTAGTATTTGGTGTTTTCGATATCAGATACTGGCTTTCTTTTTAGTGGTTTTGTGATTACAATATTAAAAAAGGTGTTCTAAAAAGTTTACTTGTTAGTCATATTATAACATAACATATGTAGAACAGAAATAGAATTCAATCCAATAGCTACAAAATTGCAAATATTAATTACACACGCATCCGCGACATCATTCATTCCTCACATTGGATGTTTTATGTTCACCGGCACTATATCTAAACCAGAAACATTATTAAATTAGCATTGTTGAAATGTACTTAGCATTGTTAAATGACTAAGTATAACATCTTTTTCATTGGTTTTCGTTAGCTATCAATTTAGACATAAGATTCTTCTCCTATCGCAATGGTTAACTGCTTAATCTGAAGGAGGAACTATTTTTGAACAGGAGAATTTTGCTAATCCAGTTATGTCAATTCTGAAAAACAATATTGGTGCTCTTATGCGGGAAATATTAGCTTAGTGCTACCAGCTTTGTATCTTTTTATTCAGTCATTCATACACAATATTTTTGATTAATCAAATTCATTTTAACGTTGAGTAAATAAGCTTCACAGATCTTGTAATTTCATATGGATGTTGTTTTGTTCGCAGCGTCGGCGTGTAGCTGTAACAATCAAACAAGTGTTACAATATGTAGGAGGTTGTAAACCCAGAAGATTATTGTAATGTTCGTTTTGTTTATATTAGACCAAAGGAATATTTATCGCGTATAATTTAACATTTTGTTACGATTAACTTTTGCATATGAATTGCATACTAACGAATGTTGGTACAGTTACTTTTGACTTTTGCTTTCCTATTCACAACTGAACATTACACATTTATTCCTAGACCATTTTCGAGCTACACAAACATGTCTTCTTGTTGGTTATTAAGTATCAACTGCGGCTGATCAAATCTAGTATTATGCAAAAGCTTATGAAATGCGAGAAAAATTCAAGGGCTAAATTTATTATGGTTGATTTTATTCCGGCATGTAAAGGCTTTTCAGCATTTTATAAGTTATGCTCACCTTGTGCGGTTTGATTGACCGCCTCTGGATTTGTAATAGTACTTTATTTTTCATACATACAGGATCTTTTTCCTATTATACAATAAACTATAATTTGATTAAACTCTGAATTTTGTAAGAAAAGGTAATTAATATATAACAGAAAGACTTGCTTACAAACTGGAGTATTTAGAAACATTAAACTAATATGCAAATAAATATATTGTGTACATTTTCTGACTTATGAGCTTCTTTATATGTATGATAAGACTATTATACGCTTTTTGTATGTAAAGGATATAAAACTTTCTATTTTGGCATGACAGCACTTCCTTGGGTAAAATTCAATTATCGGATCGATGCACTGTTGGGTATTAGGTAAGGTTATTCGAATAAATATATTTAACCGTTTAGGATTAAACAAACCTGCTTGATTACTACGAATTTTTTATAAAAATATTTTACGTATTTTTCCTATCGGATTAGTTCATTAATAATATCAAGTAGAATCGGAAAATTCAGGTGTTTCAATCCTGGTTTTTATTTTTTTACAAGTGTATTTAGTTTGTCGAGAAACATAAATGGCAAGGAATATTTCTTCTCAAGAAATCCGTAGTTCAATTGTTTGCCACTTGTGTTTTTCTTACTGTAGGTTAATTATATTCTACTTATATTTTCTATTCATATTTAGTTTTGTAGTTGCCGTTTTGCATACTAGATTTTTTAGGCATATAACTTAATCTATTTCTGACTATTATTTTTGCACTAATAAAACACTAAAATTACATATTACGTTTTAATTCACTGCCTTATTGTTCCTGTAGATGGAGTGTACATTTCCATATACAGGGTGAGTAAGTTCCGCGTGTGATTGACTTCAGCATTAATGCATGGTTACTCAATTGTCCCGCATTAAATTCATTTAAGCGATTTGTTCTAAACATTCTTAAACGGAGATTTATTAAAATTGCTGCTCAACATGTGATAACATTTACCTTTTGATTTACATCCTCGGGGAAAATTGGATCTATGAAAAGGTATTTAATAGTGTATTACGGTACAAAAGACTGCGTGCAGCTTCAAGCAGTGGCGGAACTTCGACTTTAATCTCGCGTACCGTATACTACTTTTCTTGATCTTCGGTGAAAACAAGCCTTTAAAGAGAGTACATCCACCAGGGGATCAAGAAAAACTGTTTTACCACAGAATACAAAAAATCATCTAGTCATTTCGTTTCGATTTAAAAAAATGTCTGGAGTACCTGGGGATAAAAGGGTTGTAAATAAGGGAACAATTATTATTAGAAAAGTTACTTAATTTTTTATGCAGAACATTTTTTTAGCGCACGAAAATTCAAATAAAATGCTAATTTTTCGCGGCTTAAGCAAAAATGTATTGCTTTCGTCAGCATTCGAACCTGCGTCTTCATGATTCCGGCATAACGTTTTTATCGCAAAACTTCCGTTATGCTGGAATCATGAAGACGCAGATTCGAATCCTACCGAAAGCAGTAAATTTTTCCACAAATTTAAAGTCCACAAATTATTGGGTCCGCTTAAGCCGCAAAAATTATCCTTTTATTTAATTTTGTATATCTACTAAGCCTACTAAGTCGTAACCACTCTGATATTGCACTTTCGAGATTACATTCGATGACTCAACGGCTGGACAAATTTATAAAGATCACATGGCTATTTTTAGTCTCTGGCTAAACAGTAGAGAATAGTCAGAAACGTAAAAGTATAATCTGTTCATGCAGCTTGAGATTATCAAATCTTGGATAGACTGTACTAAGACTAACCGCTAAATGGCAAAGTTCTACTTGTTAAGTTTAATGTAATTATTGAAAATGCACAGACGAAATAAAAATGGACAAATTCTTGCGTCTGACAGATGGGTAACTCAGTTAATTTTCAGGAGTTGGTACAGTGTTGCGCCAACCCAACGCACCGGCACGTTAACTCACCGGTGCAGTTGCGTTGCAGTCACCCATTTGTTAAAATGTTGCTCCTAAAAACTGTGTTGACTTTTTTCAGTTAGGTGTTGAAATTCCAGCCCCGGGCCTCGTAAAGCTTTAATCCGCCCCTGGGTTAAGTGCTAAGCGTAATTAAAAGTGCGACACAGTGAGACGCGATAAGTTATAACGAAAAACTTAGAAACAAAAAATACTCTACTAAGTTCAGAGTTGTGCCTCTAAATGCCGATAAAATTTCGAACTTTACTCATCGCTAAGAAAGAAGAAGAAAATTTTTGCATTTTGCAACACATTTTGCATCGCGTTTTTCAAAAATAAATTTCTCTGAAAAAAAAACTACAAGTTCAGAGTTGCGTTTTCAGTAAAGAAGAGTGCGCTCTAAAGGTCGTCAAAATTTCTTGAAACCTTCAAAAATTCATTCAAATCGTTTGAAAATACTGAGTTTTGCGAGCTTCGTAAATGTTGATTTGGAAATAAACGCTTTTACGCAACTGCATATTCTTCAATAAAAATTCCAACTTTCTAAGTAAAGCGAGTAGAAACTTGAAAGTTCAGTTCAAGCTAAAAGATTTATAGATTAGAGATCATTGTGACCAGCTTTCTGCAAGCTGGCGCTCCATCCTGCATTTGCTACCCATTAATCTTGAACTACATTTTTCACTACACTTTCACAAACTACCGCCCTTGCACTAAGGGTCACAATGATTCTATATTTCCCATATAAGATTGCGATTCACACAACACAAAGAATTATCGACCGATTTCGCGCACTGTCGGTAGCGAACTGAATATTCATACACTTTTCGGGAAAAAAATACACTGAACTACAGAATAAACATGATTATTTAATCATTTAATTGTTCGCCCTTTCGATGATTAATGATTTGTTTTGCAGTTCGATTTCAGTTTGTTTATTGTGGACATTTTTGTCGAAAGTGTCGTTCGCATGATAATATTTCCAACAGCAAATTTCACGTTCCAACTTAACGGAAATCAACAACAACTAAACGAAAAACGCTCCAACCGCCGATCTTTAACTAATTTAATTTTACATTTAGTCATTTATATTTATCTGAATTTCACTCAGCTGCAGTGATTAATTCACAACGCAAAAACTAAAATTAATGAAGAGTTTTTTAGTGTCCGAAAATTCTAAATAAAAGGGATTTTCCCGGCTTAAGCGGCCAAATAATTTTTCTTTTTCTAAAAATTATTTGTCCGCTTAAGCCGCGAAAACCCCGTTCAACTAAAATTAATATCCGAATTACTTTTGTTTTTCTAAAAATATAGACCAAGCAAAAAAACCGAGAAGAAATCACTTAAAAATGAAACTTTTGCTCAATTTCCGAGCGATGATAAAAACCAACGAAATTTCAACTACTTAAAAATGCCATTTAAAAGTTCTGCTTTTAAGAGATTTATTCTGCCACAAGCGCATTTTGAGGTGCGGTGCAGTGAGGCGCGATGAGTTATTGCAAGTTTGGTTTGCTTGCTATATTGACTAAAATTAATTCAATAAAGTGATGAAAAATGCAGATAAATCACATCTATTTAAAAAATCTCCTTCTTAGCCCTTTAAAACTTGTCTAAAATACGGCTCGACCGATCACAGTGGATTGTTTTTCATAGACTATTTATGTGCCAACAAATCGAACCCCGTAAGCATTTTTTAGGTGCTAAAAACTTTTATTTTCTGCCGGTTCAGGCAATATTAAAAAGTAGGATATGAGCAGGATGCACTAGAGGACTAGAGAGACGCTCATATACAAAGCTTGATTGATTTATGTTTGGTGTTCGTAGTAAAACCCAAAATTACGAAACAAATATATTTATTCAAATAAAAAAACAATTAAACATTCGAATATAAATAAATAAATATGCCTTAAAATACAAAACAAAGATAATTTAATACCAGTATTTTAAATAATATATACAACAAACTCTACTATTTTTACTGCACTTGTCGATACTAAGCTGACTAGGGTGCTTTTTTGAACAAAGAAAGGACAGAATATTACTTAACTGAAACGGTTAGCATGCTAGTTTAATTAGTTGTGCATTGTTTTGCTTCACGTTGAAGAACATGCAAAAAGAAGACCTTGTTTTAAATGTTTAGAACAAAAAAGCATGAACTAGTTAGTTTCAGTCGACAAGAGTGATTAGCAAATAGCTAGTTTACCTATATGTACATAATTTATCACAACACCCTTGGTACGTGGCGAGTTAGTTGTTATTATTATTAAAAAAACTGTTACCATTTAAAATATTTCTTTAATAAATAACGGTTAATTTACTAATTAATAACAAGTCATTAAAAACCAATAAGCAAAGTAGGAACATATTGATGATATAAATTTATGATTTAAGTAAACAATATTTCAATATAAGAGCAACGAGAGTAAGAAGTTACAAAAAAGTATGTGGGCAAAATTAATTAACCGCAGCTGGAAACATAACACTGTTTTTGTTGTAACTTACCAATCCTATGGATGTAGATCTGTTGCAAAATTAACTTAAGTTTCTCACCTCTCTATCATTTCGGATATGAGTTACTACTATGTTCCTTATAATTCCTCAATTCATTTCGAATAAACCGAGGGCTAAAGATAATTGAAGTCAAAAACATGGAATGCAAGATCTTCGAATCACTTTCAGTGTTTTCCTTGTGTCGCAAAAAATCCCGTAATCAGCTAAAGTCAAATAAAGGAACGTAAAATGTATAAGATGTGCCTTGGATGTTTACTATTCTTCGCATCCCCTTAAGTGTTTTACCGATGTAATTAATATGTTTTTCTCGTGAACCATATTGTAAAAGACTATAGTTGATTTACGTCGACTTGTTCCACTATCACCTGGTGAGGTGGCAAGTAAATAGGCAAGTTATACAAAAGAAATATTTTCAAAAAGTCGTCAACGTCTATATTTTTGCACAAAACATATCAATTTTTAAATCCATTTTAAAAATATCTCCTGTCAGCATAAAGAGTAAGGATGGAAAGATGAAACACGTTTGAACAAAATTATGGTAGCGGTGCTGCGTACACCTTAAAAGCCCCCACAGACTTCAATCTTTTTACCTGATTTTAAATGAACTTTCCAAATTCGTCTAACACCGACAGTGTGTGGGTGCAATATTTAATAATTTTTTAACGTTCCAGATCTGTCGCTAATAGATATATTAACCGTCGTTCCAGAAGCGTAGGGCGTGGGCAAAAAAAACACGCAGTGAACTTTTTGTTCATACTGTGTAGAACAACCGAAGAAATTGGCCGATAATTCGTTTCAACGATACTCAATATCAGCGGAAATATTCAAAAAGTTTGCATTCGAAGAACGTCAATTGCATGTTAATTTTAAAAGGCGAAAAAAAACACGGAGAAAGCAGAGGAGCTTTGAGGCACTATTCTAAAATAGAAAAAAATTGTCCAAAGTGTTTTAACTTGGGATATAAAAAATCACGTTTGGCATACATTCGGCAACATCTTATTCAAAATTAAGCGCGAATAAAAGGCCATGAAAGCGTGCAAATTAAGCCGTAAAAAGGAACTATTTTTTTATAATACGTATAACATCAATTATGCGGTGTAGCGCTAGAAATACTCGAACTTATTTTCAAATAAGGTCAGGTAACTATAGCAATTATAAAAATAACTTTGCACAAATGCATATTTGTCTGGAAATTAAGCGTTTATGTAGTTGTTAAGTAAAATTATACTTTTAATTTGATACCTATCTATGTACGTATACATTGAGTACCTTTAAAAAGTGGAGCAGTAATTTCGATAAATAGTTTTTATAAGCAAATTAATAACTTTCTCAATTAGAGTTAGTTATGTTGAAATTTGTACAATTACATTCGTCAACTTGCAGTCTTCAATATGCATTCAGCACTTAAACCCTCCTACTATTAATATCTTTTTATGAACGTCTAGTATGAAAAAATAAATTTCTCTTGTTTACCCAGAAACATAGTTAACTTTATGTTAAAATCTTTAGTTTTCACTCATGCTGCTCATCCATTTAGGATTGTTGATATTCCTGGTTGATCGCTTTTAAGAATATAAATGATAGCAAAAACAAAGTTGACCCTGTTAGATCACCAAGCGCAGTTAAATAAGGAATGGCAGAATTGTCAGGATCCATTTTAAACTTCCACATTGTGTGAACCATTAAATGTGCGGAATATAGAAGAATAATCAGCTGAATAATACTAACGGTGAGGTATGAAAGGATGAATGGCCATCTTGCAACTAATGTTCCTCCGTTGTAGATTAAGTCAGCGGATAACAGAAAAACTATCTGTCCTGGCACTGACATGGCTAATAGAAGTCGTGCAGTTTTGGCTGGAAATACTGGCAACAAAGAGTCATTATTAGTCGAAATTAATTTAACAGAATTTTGAAATTAATTTCTAACCTCCGGAGATCAAAGCGGTCCATGGAGCTACCCATTGCTTGGTATGCGGAGGAATCACTCCTTTAATGGACGTTTTGTGAAGCATTGTGGACGTGCGACTGGCATGAACCGATACCAGGTTACCTCCAATACCATTGATAATTGGACTGAATGTAGAGAAGCTAGGAAATCTGTTGGCTGCTTTATCCAGGACCAACCCACTTGCCCTAGAAATTACATTTGGAAGGCATTATTGCATGCAATGTGTTTTTCAATGAGTTTGTTATAAAGCTATTGAGTCAATAATCCAAATAATTCCAAAGTGATTTAAGGAAGAAATCGTCGGTTAAGATCGCGAGCGGTCAAACAACGCTAAAAATGAGCCGAAAATGTCGATTATCTCGGATCTGATACTTCTAGCGGGTTTTTCAATGAGTTTGATACATTCTTCGCTTGCTTGTGAAGAAATTGATGTAGTATTCAGGGCATTTTGAGAAAAATTATATTTAAAAAAAAATCGACCCCAAACTATTAGGAAAATTTTTCCCAAAAACCAAATTTTCACATGAGCTTGATCTTCTGATTCTGAGCTGAATCCATTCCACTCGATGTAAGAAGCTCACAAATGTACATTAATAAAGCTATTGAGTCAATAATAACGAAGAAATCGTGGGTTAAAGATCGGGAACTATTAAAAAACAGCTTAAAATGAGCCGAAAATGTCGATTATCTCGGATCTGATACTTCTAGCGTGTTTTTCAATGAGTTTGTTACATTCCTCGCTTCCTTGAGACAGGGGCGGATCCAGCTTTAAAGTAAAGGGGGGGATTATGTAGAAAAAATACAGTCTTCTGTTATCTATGAAATTAGAAAAATGATCGTCGTTTTGTGCAAGGGTGGCGCAATATTATTGCAAAATTTCATGTTTTCCGTCCCGTTTTACATGTTTCTCGGAAGCAAAATGAGCAAGAACGCTCGTTTTTACATCATTCCAGAGATAA